TCAATGGAGCATATAAAGAGATATAGAATTAGTGTCTTCGCATTAACAAAAAAACCCAAGTATGTGTCGGATAAATTACAAATATTTGGGAAAAAATAAGGCCTGAAGTCAGTCCCTCCATACAACTTTGTTCTGTGCGGCATCCTATCTTGTTTTATGTTCAAATTTGGTATTAATCTAAAATGAGTGATTTATTTGTATGATTTTGACATCAATTTTATTGCAAGTAATACCAGATGTGAATTCAACTGAATGCAGATTAATATTGGTCATTGTAAGCAGATTTGTTTTACTGCACCCAAGTCACCCAGAGCTCGCCATTTGTCACTGCATGGTTGTTCCGTGCGAGTAAGTTGATTAACACGTAGAAAGCTATATAAAAGCCATTTTAGATCGTTGACAGTGCTTGTATAAGAGGCTGTACAGCGTCTTGTTATGGTGACAGTGGATTTCATCAAGGATGCTGAGCCATTACTAGCCAAACATTGAAGGATGACATATGAGTAAGTGACTTCAATTGTTTCTCAGCTTCAATCTGGATGTAGATCAATGCAACTTCTACTACAAGGCAAATACAACAGAACAGGCGAGCAGAAAAGTGTCAGAGGGCAGAGAAAAAGTATGTGGAGTGGGACATATATGTTTATATTCGTTGTACATTGTAATTTAGTGAACAAATATTTATTTCTACTAAGTCTTTTTATGCATCCATGCGTCTAGTTTATTTATAGTCTATGGAGAAGTAAAGGTATTTAAGCGCTTTTAGGTACTGTAGTAGACTAATAGTTGATTCTTTCTAGGAATAAATAGTTTACTTATATAACCAGTAGAGTGAAGCAGTATGTACAGAGAGCGTTTGAAACTTATAACCGTATTGCAGTTCCTGACTTCTAGGGGCAAATTGTTCCATATTTTAGAATACATGACTGTGAAGAAGTTTTCGCGGAGTGTTGAATTAAAGGATTTTATTGTCACTGTGCAAGTCTGGTTACGCAGATCGTAAGAGCCTTCTTGTGCGAATTGTATGCCCTTACTGTCTCAGAATGATATTTTGTGTAGGACCTTATAGAAGAATACTAGGTTTATAATTAGTCGTCTTGTCCAGTGTGGGTCAAGTTGTAGAATCATGCACCGTGAGATGTAGTCTTTCTTACATTCATAGCCAAGTAGTTTTGATGTAAAATATCGTTGGATACTTTCTATTCTTAGCTGTTCACGTGTGTGAGTGCTGCTAATAATAAATGGACAGTATTCTAGTAGTGGCCTCACACAGGTTTTGTACAGGATGAGGTTTGCTTCATTGTTGTGAAAGGTCCTGAGTATGCATCCTAACAGCATCCTCGACTTTCGAGTCTGTGATACCACTTGCTCAGAAAATGTTAGGTTACTCGAGTACCTCAGACCTAGGTCAACGACACTCTGGAGTCTGGTTAGGTTAGCCGATTGAAGCGTTAACTTCATGTCGACTGAGGGTGCACCGAAGCAGATCCAGCCACATTTTTAAGGTTAAATTGGAGGTTCCATAAAGACGACCAAGCAGTCACTTTATCTAGTTCTTTTTGTACAACATTCTGGAAGTACCCTAGGTCATCAGATTGGAATGTATAAGCTACTTTTAGGTCATCTGCAAAGATGAATGGTTTCCCATGAGATAAGCGAGCGCATATGTCGTTGGTATAGAGTAAATAGAAGGGGTCCAATGATTAGTTTAATAATTCACACATGTCTGTAGAATTTGTGCATAGTCTACCTTTGTCTATGAGGAGGGAAATGCCATGATATTTGCGATTCATTCGCTTCTTTAAGATTTCCGTGAGTGCATACACTCTAGCAGGACTGGCTACTGCTATGCGTTCTTCGTTTCTTATACGGAAATCTCCAGCTTGTGAGATGGAGCTAAGGGTGTTAATTATTAAACCTAGTGTGCCAAAGTCGTGGTGTTTGAAGTAACTTGTCGAGAGTCTCTTCAGTTTCGTACGATCCTTTGGTTTTATGAATGACTTCCTATGTGGGGAAAGCTGAAGTGTTTGGAGTGGAATGACAGCATCTAAGCATGTGTTTGAGTTATGGTAGAAGATGCTCAGAGCTCTCGAGAGGTCATGAGTATTCACCCCGTTCAGAAGACCTTAGCATTGATTCTGGGAAAGCCCTGTTTGCCTTACTATAGTTCCTATATAGTACTTGTTGTGAAGTGGAGGTATGAGCTGCATTGCTACTCAGTGGAAGTGGCAGAGCACATATCACTGTTTTGTGGTCACTTCCTGAAGACTTAGAACCCACTAAGATTGAGGAGGTCTTATATCGTGACAGAATATTAAGTCTAGTATATTGTCACCTCTTGTAGGGATAGTGACAGTTTGTTTCCAGCCGAAAATGTCCAGTGTACCTAAGAGCTTGTCATACTTAGCTGGCTCAATTGATTTCGGGTAGGTTGAAGTCTCCATATATGATCTTATGCTCGTATGGAAGAGTGGATGCTTGCTCCAGTACATTTATAAGTTGTTTCCCGTAATCACTAAAGGTGCCACGTGCTCTGTAGATACATCCTATTAGTAGTGTAGCACTTTTGAAGTGTACATTGACCCATAGGGTGTCGTGCATGTCATTGAGTTCCCTATTTTCTAGCTGTAATACAGTGTGTTCAGGAAGTACTTTAGACTGCCTCCTCCCTCACCACTGTTCCTGTCATATCAAAAGTGTATGTACCCATCGATGCTTATTTCTTCGTCTGGTATGTTGGAGTGACACCAGGATTCGGTAATAATAATTATAGGGGGTTTGTATACCAGCGTGTGTGCCCTGAGATCGGTAGTTTGTTATGTATGGACCTAGCATTAATAAGTATTAAGCAGAGTTGAGATCTGAAGTAGTGTTTGGAGTATTTAAGCTCATGCATAAGGTTCAAGTGTGGATCGGCCTCCAATGTTTCCGGGTGGCATAGCAACCCTATGTTGCAACTAGTTTGGGTACCATTTTAACCTATATCTATCGAGTTACTATCTATTTCCTTTAGTGAATAATGGGTTTCATTATTATTGGATACACTATACGATGACGTAGTTCTAGGCTTGGGTAGGAGTTCTTATTTGGCCTATGCTTGTACAGCCATTGGATGTGATTAATACTTCCGCGTGCACTAGCCTATGTCTGTTTTCTACTCGATAGGGAACCGACATTAGTGGTAAGGGTTCAGAAGGGTTAACATCCCCACCAGCTGTTTGATTAGCATTGACAGGGATGTGTTGGATAAAAAATCATTAGTATCTTGTGATGCCCATGATTTGTTAATCTGCCTATTGTGTGGGGACATTCTAAGAGATCTTACATGGGTTTCGTTATATGCATAGCTGCACTATGGTTTGTTTCCCAGAAGACTTATTCCATATAATCTGCCAAAGTTTGTTTGTGTGTCATATTTTGAAGACCTTGAGTGCCTGGTGGCTGAACTCTGAGTGTTGTCACTTGCTATGTTTTCTGTCAAGCAGTCACTAAAGTTCCCTGCACTAATGCATCCATGCTAACAACCAGAGGTGTGGGGAGAAGTGGAAAATATTCGCGAGGTTTAATGGCCACTCAGGCGAAAAGTTAAAGCAGTCCAAGGGTAGCTAAAATTCTCTGGTCGCCTAAACGACCACTCTTTTTCTACTGAATGTTTCAGATGTATGTTTAAGAAGGTCCACTGCCTGTATTTACAACGAAAGGAACCTAGCTACCCACATCGTTTAAGAAATCAAAATCAATTCAAAGGTTTTGAGAAATCGTATCCATTAACAGGCTGTTTAGATTAACCATCAACATAGCACTAACTGAACTTCCACAGTCGCTCTTAAACTGGGTGGCTGGGTCATTGTCCATCGATGCCGGATACATATTTGAAGCGAAAAAATGTTTGTACACATACGCTTGGTTCGGCTGGAGTATCAATGGATGGATATGGTTCCAACTATAGGACTTGCGGGCAACCCTACGAATAATGCTGACTTGTAGGAATGCATCGTCTGTTTCGGAAGGATAATATGATACAGTTGAGAGTATCTGTGACGTTAGCCATTTGTGTTGAAGGAAATCTTCCGCTGAGGACGTGCGCATATTCAGACTGGGTTAAGTCTGTTTTAAGACAAGCAATGAAGGTTTCAGCAAGTTTGTTAGTGATGATATACAAACTGTAAACTCATTATTCAATACGATGTACATGCTGACCCATCAAGACTAAAAGGAGTGGTGCGTATAAATAGAATTTTTCAGGGAACGAATCAGACCTCAATACACAAAAACATCTTACGAACTGAAGGATTAATAATGCTTAAATTGTCAGGCAGTCAGATGTATCGCAGCCTTACTATGCAATTGAACATATATTCATTACTCATAAATCCTCTACTGTCTTGGTGTTGGCAGTTTTTTAACCTCCTAGTTGTGAACTTCTTAACAACTCTGAGATTACCGAAGCTTTCAGATACGGGCCAAAAAATTGCAATAAAACAGACGTCATAAGGTATGCCCGTTATGTATCTTCGTAGCCGGAAATCCAAGAGCGGATTAGGGGGCTTGAAATCCCCACAGAGAAATCCTGTAAGTCAGTGATATAAGATTACCAGACACAAAGTATTGCTCCGTTGCAGTATCCGATGGGTTCGTGCATTCCTCAGAGAAGCAACAGCTGCAGAAATTGGGAAATGTGTTGTTCCGTACCCAGTCGCTTGGGTGGAAATTATTTGCGGAAATTCAGGCGATATACACAATCATGGCTACTATCTCTAATTTAGAAGTTATTGGGAAGTTAAGAAGACAATAATTGTAGTAAAAAGTAACCTCCAAATGGTCATGAAAAGCGTGGATAATATATTTAGAGGGCTAATTAAATTGTTTACCCTGGGGGATTTAGCTTTTGTAAATGGACTGAAGTGTAACGCAAAGGAGTGTAAAAGTTTTGACATTAATATAGGCTGATTTATAATTGAGATATGAACATACTTCTCATATATTTTATATGCGGGCTACGTGAATGCAGTAGACTAACCGTCATACGACGTTTCAGAACTGCACTTTGAACTCGTGCCTTTAACATACACACGGAAATATGCATCTCTTGTTACAATAAAATCTTCTTGCTTCGTTTCCCCAGCTCTGTGTTCTTCCTCGTTTCCCACTCTTGCGAATTGGTTGGTTGGTTATTGTATTTTTTCTCGTGTTTTACAGGTAGGAGCTGTTTTCTGAACCCCATCCGTCTGTATACAAGTGTTGTGATGTATTACGCCTCAAACGGATATGTCACATATTAATGCCTGCTGAAATAAAGCGGCCTTTTCAAATCTTCACGTAACTTTTACGAAATGTCGAAAGAAGTCCCGAAACTAGATCCGTTTCGGACAAAGGCAGAACTTAAAGGGAAAAAGCAAAAGCGTTCTCAAGGATCATCACACTATCGGCCAAAGGCACCAACGGAACTAACACGCTTGCCCGCATTCAAAGGTAGCTCATGCGTTATAATCTTTTATTTCACTCAAAAAGATGTTTCCCCTTCAGAACATCAGGAGCTCTTTATTAAAAAACTTCAGCAGTGTTGTGTCGTTTTTAATTTTGAAGACTCTACATCTGATGTGAGCAGCAAAGAGATCAAACGCACATTTTTGAGTGAACTGGTGGAATATATAAGCGTAACTCGAAATGCCTTAAATGAATCTGTTTACCAACCTATTGTGTCCATGGTTTGCTTAGCGCTTCTGTCTTAATAAGGCTCTTATTTAGATTGCCTGCAATATTTTTCGGCCGTTACCGCCGTCTGATAATCCCGATTTCGATCCTGAAGAGGATGATCCTATTCTGGAAGCAGCTTGGCCTCACCTTTCAGTAAATATTTTGTAACCTTTTAAGCATATTTCTATAGTATGTTTACGAGTTCTTCTTACGCTTCTTGGAGTCACCCGATTTCCAACCTGTTGCAGCGAAGAAATATATTGACCAGAAGTTCGTACTGCAGGTAAATCTTTTATATAGCTACTTAAGAATTAGCTGTTGGAGCTGTTTGACAGCGAAGATCCTAGGGAACGTGAGCTACTGAAGACTGTTGTCCATCGCATATATGGGAAATTTTTAGGATTGAGGTCTTTCATACGTAAACAAATTAACAATATATTCTTGAGGTAATATTGAGATGAAAGTCATGCTTACTTTCTATAGGTTCATTTATGAAACAGAACAATTCAATGGTGTTGGAGAATTGCTTGAGATCCTCGGCAGTATAATCAACGGTTTCGCCCTGCCGCTGAAATCTGAACACACCCGTTTTCTGGCCAAAGTACTGATACCCCTTCATAAAGCTAAATCTTTAGTAACTTTTCATCCGCAGGTAATTGGTGTGGGTTCATTTTTATTTTTGTCAACATTCGCTTAAGTACTAACTTCAGGCTTGATCAGTGATTTTATTTCGGTTGTGATTGTGTTATGAACTATTCTTAGCTGCTGTAAATTTTATTTTTGGGTAGTAGTAGACTAAATAATAATCAGGGATTCGGTATACAAATGTAAAATTTCCGAATGCGGACACGTGCATGGCAATCCAAAAGCTTACACATATTGTACAGTAGTGGTATTTGGCCTCTTATGCCTTGTTAGATTTAGTTGGATTGAAGCCTGTGACCCACTATCTGGTCAGTGATTGCTTGAATCACTGTCCCGGTCACATGTAACACACTTTTCTCGTAATGAAGGTACTGAAGGAGTCAGTACATATATAGGAGAAAATTGAATAAGGCATACTGAAGATGGCTAAGGGCTCTGTAGTAACCCAAGTAGTTATTTTGAATTATAAGGTGAGTAAAATAAAGCGTCATTTGAGATCAAAGGTGCACTGGTCTGTCTAAGAGATTTTATTAAAGACCCATGCCACATGAATTTAGAGTAGTGTATCTGCATTTTTGATTACTAAGACTTCCGATCATTTAGCTGTTGATAGTGAAACTACCTTGCATTGTCTTGGTGCAGCAAACTACATTGTTATGAGTGATGAAGACAGCGAAAATTGGGGGTTGCAACAGAATTCAAATCACCAAATATATGCTTCCTGAGAGCTGTTGATGTATTGAGGTGCAAAGATTATATAGGACGCTAGAAATGTGTCTTTTACAAAGGAGCACGCTTGACATCTGTCAGTTACAGTGTATTATTGTAGAATAGTTGCATATTACCTGTCATTATAGGATGAAGTAATTAAATAATAGGACGCGTTAACCTTTTCACTAATTTACTAAGACACTAGAGAAGAAATGAAAGTTCAGAAAAATTTGAAATGAATAGAGTAGGAAGTAGCATTGGCTCATGTATTTGCATAGTCCCAGTGGTCAGAACTCATGCCATTTGAATATATAAGAAGGTCATTTAATGAATTTGATATATTTGACTCTGCTTATTAATGGGTAGTCGCACTTTTAAAATTTGCTTCTTTATAGTTTGCAGCGACCCCTTGTTATACGTTACATTCATGGATAACCCCCATCTAGGCATTAATGAAAACAAAACATGTAGTTCAGCGAAGAGTCTCCTTTTGTTATGTTGTGTTCTATGTGTAAAGTGGTAGTTGCAGTAAGACTGATTTAAAACTCAAACTTGCTACAGTATGACCACAAAGAGATACCTCACACGTTTGTGCAAAGGTTGGGATACTACCCGGGCGCCCAAACCGAGACAGGTGGTTGTCATAAAGGACCACCGCCTATCCTGTGATTCGAAGCTCTATCAACAGGACACTGGATCAGTGTCAAGAACTACATCCCCCTTGTTTCTAGTGACCAGAACAGCTTCATATGCTATTCAGTCTGTCGGGATTCTGAAAGCCATCTACGCTACAAGATTGGAATCAGAGTTTTTCAGATCCCCTTTGAAGGTCGTGGATGATCACCAGTCGGGTTGGTGGTACCAGGCGTTCGTATTCGCCCTTTCACTTTTGTGAGAAACACCGCCGCTTGAAAATAGTGTACAGGACTTATCTGGCAAAAGCTCTAAACGCGTGCCCCCATGAAAGCATTTTGAGAGGAGGACTGAGGTCTACGCATTCTTTCCCTTACTAGGTCATTCGGGACAGTAAAACAGGAGAAAGCCCTGTTGTGCTCATCTGGGGATGCTCAACCACTCGGCCTTCAGTCAGTGGGTCAGGTTCTGCCAGACTTTCACTCTGTGCAACTGAGTAGTAATACACAGTAAATATTCTTCAGCTTGTCACATGAATACCTGTTCTGTGTTATTGAATTCGATCTGACTAACTAACAACGTTCATTTAAAAACTTGTCTGTCGACGATTTGACTGAAGTAACTTCTTTGGTTCTTCCTGAATTTAAAATTATTTTATCGTATCATTCATAGTGTTATATAGTGTTTCTATATATGGCTTACACGCTAAAGCTTCATTCATTCCGGAAGATTTGTCATATCACTATATTTCTGTGGTTTTTTTGGTAGCTACTAAAATGCTACTAGGTTGTATTTGCAGAAATCAAAAGACGGGATACACAAGTCAATAGTATTGTTACACTGAATGGTAAATGGTAGTGTACGTTAAAGGTCTACTCATGTTACACCATATGCCCACAAACAAACTTTGGACATAATAATCGATTTTCTAGAAAGTAAAATGGTTAGGATGGTTGTTGCTTAACTGTATGTTATCTGAAGATTTAAATAGAAATACGATTTTGATAGTTGCAATGACATCTTTGAAATGTATTACTAAGAAATCTTGAAAAGTTTTGTAAGAATAAAGATTATGTTGATAAGAAACGATAATTTGGTTTTGAAAGCACCCGTAATCATATGTAGTTGTCGTTATATTGTCGTGGAGCCCTATTCCACTCAATCCCTTGAAGAACTCAAGGTGGTTCTTGTGTTTGTAAAAACTTCCTTTGACGTTTTGTGGCTAATAACTTTATTCATTTTATTGACAAGTTTCGTCTTCTACCTTTTTTTTAGCTTGCTTACTGCATAGTTCAGTTTCTAGATAAGGATGCAACGTTGACAGAGCAGGTTGTGCGTGGATTGTTGAAATTTTGGCCAAAAACGTATTCTCAAAAAGAAGTTATGTTCTTGGGGGAAATTGAAGAAATCCTGGAAGTAATCGAGCCTTTGCAGTTTCAAGTAATAATGGTCCCACTGTTCAAGCAGATAGCAAAGTCTGTTTCAAGCTCCCATTTCCAAGTAAGATTTATTTTGTAGTTCACGCGTGACAACTTTTGATCCTGGATTTTTTGTTTGACAGTGTATCATTCTGAGTCGAAATACATTTATTGCTGCGCATCTCTACTCGTTAGGACTAGTTATATCCGTTATACAAAATGCAAGACAAATGTTTTAAAATTCCATAAAATTGACCTAATTATTTGTTTTGAAACAAGACTATGCGTGAGACTAATATAATAATAAACAGTATTTTGGGTACAAAAATGGAATTTTCAGCATGTAGTGCAGTATTGTATCTAATTCTCTCATTACGGGGATAATAATTAAATCAGGGCATTTACATTGATAATATTGTTCAGTAAGTGTATAGATATAAAATTAGATTGAGTGAAAATAGTATCAACAATATAATAGTGAGAAAAAAAGAGGGCCGTTCACTGAGTGTTTCTCAGTAAGTTAGTAGTGTCCTGCCTCACATTTTTCTCATCACATAAAATGTGTGCCAAATAAGGTAATGAGAGTTTTTATGCTTAGTCGGCCGAGCATATAGTCTTCTATAGTTTTAACTGATGAGATGCAAGGAGAGGGTTGCGCGTAGAGAGGATTTTCAGGGTTTGACAAGATAGTCTCTAATTCCTTGCATGAGTCCATGTGTCCACCTACAATAGTAATCACAAGTTGCTTTAGCGACACTTCACTCACCATACTGACAGCTTTTAGTACCCTCCACAGTATAACAGAGTCTTTCTTAAGTAGCCCAGGGAAGATTAAAGGAAAGTAGTGAAGGAAAATCGGTAAAATACAAAAATTTGGAAATACAAACTTGGAAAGTAGAGACCGAGTGATATGAAATCGTTTTAACTTACAGAAAACATTGAGCGAAATGTCGTTCTAGAAGCTGACATGATGTGGGAAAGGCTAGTAAAGATCAGAGGAAATACCCAGGATATTTTGTTTTAACTTCAGTGTCCTGTATGATGGTGGAACCATGCAAACCATGTAAGTTGCAATTCTATCTGGAAGTGGAATTAACGACCTGACATTTGGAGGGATTAGGCTCAAGACCATTTGATGAGGATTAATGACTAATTTCTGATAAAAAGTTATTCATTTTAAAACAGTTTGAATGAGAAGTAAGGGGCGTAGAAACAGTCAGATCATCGGTATACTTAACAATATTGGCTTTGTTAGAATGCGGCAAGTCATGTAAGAAGAAGGAAAACAGAGAAAGAGAAAGAACAGCTCTTTGAGGAACACCAGCTAGAGTAAGTGAAGCAGTGGAGGACTTCCTATTGTAAACAGTGTACTGCTTCCTATCAGAAAAATAGGAATGCAACCACTTGGTAATCCAGCACTGTGCTTGTGTCGCAGCAAGCTTGTTTAACAAAAGAGGCCTAGGTACAGAGTCAAAGGCAGATGTGTAATCTAGGAAGGCACACCGAACATATTTGGCACCTCTGTCTAAACTAGAAAAATATTTTGGTATAAGATGACAGTGACATCTAAAGTACACCTACTATGTTTACAAACAAATTGTCAATGGTCATTAAACACCTTCAAGGAAGGTTCAGGTGTTAAGCGAAAGCAGTTTTTCCACTGTTTTTTAAAAAGGTCAGGTAATGGTAATAGGCCTAAACTTAACACTTGGTCTACTTGATGATTTAGGCATAGGAACAGTTTAACTGCCCTTCTTATAGTAATAGTTTGTGTAGAACTTGAACATTGTGGTGATGTGCAATTAAATATTAATTTATTCATTTACCGTTCTGTATTAAATTATAGGAGTCACGTTCTTCCGTTTTATTCTATGTTTATATGCAACTATGCAGTAATTCAGCTCATATGTCTCCTTGATATGTTACCTTGTTAGGATTTACTAGTCTAGATTGCACTATGATTTTGTGCCTCGGCAGTCTAGTTGTCCTTAGCCTACTACTGTGACCTGTGTAATGGACCACATAGTCATAAAGTAGTATCATATAGACCGAGTTAATTTGTTTGATGGATTCACCAGATGGTTTAGCTGAGTTTATTTTTGAATAAATTTGTAGATTTAGATACAACTTTTATTCCTATCCTATTAATAATGATACAGAAGGTTTCAGAGTTTCCATCTTTGTATGCTAACAGTATGTTTCAAATTACTTCCAAATTGTTCTACCATATTTATGTATATACTGGATATTTATATCAAGCCCAGTGCTGTTTCCCTTTTTATTCTTGTATTACATGTAGTTTTGGATGAATTCATCAGTAATCTGTGAGTGCAATTTGGGCACTGTAGTCGAATATGACTAAGTTTATTTGACATAACACAATGATACAGTATTAATAACTGGACGACGTTTCGAGCACAATCTATTCCTCATAATCCTATCAATGCATTCACACGGCTTCATAATTTGTTTGATATATTCTTTACCTCCCTCTTGTTTATCACAATCTTCCAAATGTCCAATAAAGTTTTTGCGTCATTTCGATTACAAGTATTTGGTGTTGATTCGACGAAGAAAGATTCGGTGATCAGCCTCTCTCCATCTAAGTATATCACTATCTAGTGTTTTTTTTACTATACCCCACCTTATCGTGTGATCATGTGCAAGTGAATGCATTGCGATGACCCAGCATTTTTCCAGATTACTTAACTTATCAGCATCATGATTGATGCTGATTCTAGCTCCAGCTAAATTTGTGTTTCGATAATCCAATTGACACCGCTCTTACAAGTTTGGGTTATGTAATTGATCTCAGTCATTATACGGTGTTTGGTAAATTATATTATTTTTCCTGATTGGTCCATTTGGTTCTCTAAGCCAAAAAAATCAGTCTCTAATTGGGCTGGCTGGTTTAAATGCCACCGCAATTCTAGCCTTATTAAGAATCCTGCATAGAGTCTCTGATATTCCCCATTTATATGACAGCACTATCGAGGCTTTCAATATTATTTTCGTAGTTGCTGTCATTCTTCTTCTAGGTCTTCATACATCTCTGAATATATTCTGGCGGATAGTTATTTACTAACAAAGTTCTCCTTATTTTTCGATTTCGTTATTTAAATCTTATAACTTTCTAGTTAGGCTCCTGCCTCCGTTATATAAACGTTTAACTAGGCTTACGTTTACTGATTTTGGGTGTTTGTTGGTCTTCTATAGGTGCTGGTATGTAATCCACTACTTTGATTTTGTTTTATTCTACTGTCTAGCATAGACAACTCACTTTGATCATTTCTTAACTCACAACCGGATTGCATTGCATCTTTTTACTGACTCTATGTGTGAAGAACTTAGGAATATATTCAGATTTCAACAGAGTGAATGTGTCATCCACAAATCTTCACTGTAACCTAGGTGAAGGATTAAACATTCTAAGAGCTTTACGTTCCCAAATATTCATATATTTGTCTGGTATTTTTGGGGAAATTGGTGATCCTATTGCTACCCTATTTGTTTGTTCGTATATTTTCTTTTGAAATTCGAATAGAGTGTGGGTTAGAAATAACTGAACCTTTAATACTATTTCTTTCACTGTGAGCTTAGTCCTATTGTTCGAATTCATGACCAATGTCCAGTTCATTTCTAACTACCACGAGAGCTACAATAATTCTGATATTGTGTGTACAAACTGGTTACGTCAAAACTAATCATTTTTCTTCATATTATTCTATTCGAATTTCCTCTAGCCTCCGTTTCATTACTTATGAATTAGCTGGCCCAAAATATGGCCGATCACTGATGAGACACAATGTTGATGCTAAATACTTAGATAACTCATATACCGGGATGTTCCTAAAGTCAACTATTTGCCTATTCGAGTGTCCTGCTCTATGAATTTCTGCTACTAGGATTAATAGTTCCAAACATTAGATCAAGCCACTTTGAGTCGCCCAAAAATGACTTCATTCGGCGTACTAGGTCAACTGTAGATTTTTTGATCTTATAATCGTGTCTACAGCTTTTCTAATCTCCACAAATAAACATGTTTTAATGTTCATTGACCTTGTTGATATAATGCAATCTGTCCATAACCAGCACAGTTGAATTACCCTTGTCTTATTTAGCAATTGCAATGTTTTTGTCATTCGTCACACTTTAGTGTTGGTATTTTCTGTTGTCATAAGTTCTTTCTTCTTGTCTTATGATGTTTGTGTTTCAATGCAATTGTGCTATGACTTTCTCGGTAGTCATTTGGTTTCGTATAGTATTCTGTGAGTTCTTATACTGCCACGTATCAGCCGATTTTCAACCTGTTACACTGAAAAATGCAATGACGGAATTTTTGTCTTTCAGGTAAATCGTTGATATAGCAACTTAATCAAATGTTTCACCCTCCCACTAAATTATGTACATACACTTTGTACAAGCAAATTCCCTTAACATTTTACCATGGCAATAAATTTATCAAGCGTTGTCGAAAACGAAGTTGTAATGTTATGACATCGTTATTGGAATACAATCAAGTGACGGTGAATTGGAAACACGGGATCACAGAAATTCTTCGCACACCAAGTATGTCAAGGTGATCAATGTATGGCAAATACTAAATATATTGTCTAATCACTTTTCAGAAGATGCAGGATTAAGTATTATTGAAGGATTATTAGGACCTTTTGAAATTTTTGCATGTCTGGCAAATCTTATTGTTTCACTTTTATTCAGTATGGTCATTCAGTTAAACTGTGTGAAACAATAAGTGATTAAGAACATTGTGTGGAATTAAACAAGTAATAAGTGGAAACAATGAACTTTTGTTGAATACCGATTATATTTTAGTGCACCAGTTTCGCTAAAACGCATACCAGTAATCCAACTTTCGTTTGCCACACATATCATGCGCTGAAACGGCTTTGTTCAGTGACCCACATTTTGAACACACTTAACATTCCCTGGCCTATTATTATAATGTCGTCAGTATATGATTAATAGACACTGATGTTCCCACCATCCCATCTCACATCTGAATTCACAGTAAACAAATGCTGTCATCATACAAACATGAGATTCTTGACTGCTCCGGCCGCATATACGTTTAAATTTAATTTTATGTGTAAAACAGTTATAAGGGATTCGATAGATTTTGATGGTCACGATGACTTCACCAGTGTTTTTCTTGAACATGTACTGATAGAACGGAGCCCTACGTTCTCTTTAGTTTATACGTGGGATTAGGTTGGAAGAGCTAATGGTTGTCCACCCAAAACTTGGAATCAGTCCGTGAAATCTTTGGCAATTAGTTTGATCCATGTAGGGAGGTGTAGACTTCCTGATTGGTATCCTGGAGATGCTAAGAACCAATGACTGCGTACAGTTGGCGATATCGATCAAAATCGTTCTTAATGTCTCAGATGCATTCACTCTGTTGTAATCCGCAATATCCATTAAACCTTATTGTTTTCCCACGTTACTTTCCTTCATCCCTCACCTTTCCTCCTGATTACCATTCTTTCGAATCTCGTTTTTCTCCTGTCATCTTTTATGTACTGTATGGAGTGTGGCAACTTATACTGCCGCGCTTCTATGCAAAGTTCTGTTTTGAAACCAGTCAGTCAGTTCGTTCAGTAGTGAAAATATGGCTTATTAACTCAAAGATTTGACTTTCATGCAATAAGTCCCGTGTTCGAGCCCAACCACACCTGTTTCACCCTGAGCGATTAGTTACTGTCATCAGTCCTCGTATAACGTACGTCTCTTATAGTGTGGTATATGCAAAATGTTATCTTGATAACAGAGCTTGAAACCGTCTGTAGTGGAAAAGTTGGATCGAACGTACACAGCCTACTTCAGAGCATATTAGCGATATTTTTTCTTAGACCAAGATTTCAGCCAGGATCAGACAACCTGAGTCATTTTACTTACATCATTAAGTATTCTTATCTAGAATTCTGCTGTCGTATTTATTCATAACTGCTTCTCCAGTACTTCCGCGCATTAAGAAGGTCAAAGAATCAAAGAAGTATCCAGGTATTTTCAGTCGTGTTGGAAAAATTTAGTTTTCATTGCATTTTGAATGTCCAACTTACTCTGTTGCTTTCTGAAAACCTGATTAACCTTTAAGACATTTTGAGACTCGTAATAATTACTAGCTTTGTTTTATTTTGTATGAAGTGGCGAAACATGTTTTATCAATCTACTTATAAGACAGTTGGACGCTTTATCCTGTTTTCATGCTGCTCCTACTTTGCAAATACAGATAGATTACACACTCTGAAGAGTAGCTTTCTTGATTGGCTTTCTTATTTCAATACCTCCTGCAGTTACCCTAGCATATCTTCTGATGCTGTCAGTTCCATACAGTCAACTGTGCACCCAAATAAATACTGATTTCAAGTTCCTGACGTAATTTAGTCTGCATTGTAAAACCTAACGGGGATCAAAATGTCGTCGGTTGATTTCTTCACTTTTTGGAAGATTATGGAAACTATGTTAGTTGTAATAAATAACCAGTCTATTTTCTTGAGCTAGAATGCCTTAAGTCAGCCATCTTCTTTTCTAATTTCCTTAAAGTGTGGAACTTTGAACGTCTATAAAAAGCTCTACGTTTGTTTTTTCAGCTAATCAGCTGACGATTCCTTAGCATTTGAAAACATTCAGAAGTAAGTTCTATTGTTTATCATTTTTCAAATTTGCGGAAGACTTTCTGATATCAGTTGTAGCAATATCATACGGCGTTTCTTCTTTGTTCATATTCATGCTGTGTGTTAGGTATCTGTATAGTTGTTGTGTAACAGCCGAATTGTCATGTCAAGAAATACTTCAATTTTATTTCCTGAAAAGTTATAACGAACCTGTCTTTCTTCAAGGTAGTTTAACTTTCGTGTTCACCATGTCCACCACTGTGATTATGTATTTAGTGTTTTCCAAATCTTTTGTTTTCATTTATTTCTACAGGTAGCTGAACGAGCACTAAGCTATTGGAACAATGATAACATAGTATCCCTTATTGAAGAGAATCATGACACTCTAATACCTATATTGTTCCCTTCTTTTTATCGTATTTCACGTGAACACTGGAACCAAACTATAGTAGCTTTAGTCGGAAATGTGCTGAAAATCTTCATGGAAATGAATTCCACATTGTGCAATCAGTTGGCTGAAAAACACAAAGTTGAACGTCAGAGGTAAGAAATATGTAAGCTGTCAATTCTCTCCTAAAATACTCTGAGATACGATTTTAGCAGAATATTATACTTGAACCCCAAGAAAATGACTTATGCATTTGAATTTGTAACTGTAATTGACTTCCAGGTCCCCATATCCTCTATGTAAACGTATTTTCACTCAATCATGTGACTGAGATGAGTTAGTACCCGAAAAATACCCATATAGACATGGAAATAAGGACTAGCACTTCGACGAAAACACCACTTTCCGTGAATACATTCACTTAGCTGTACAATCACATTCATGTAAAGGTATTTTTGTATGTATATGTGTACACTCAGTCTGCCAAACATAGCTAAACAAAATAAAATTATCTCGGAACATTGTTTACATCATCAAAATATTTAGAAGTAGGGAATATTAATCAGATTGTAATTAAAAGTGCGGAGATCAGTAATGTTGGACAAAATTGGGTGTTGACAGGAAAAGCATTAAGACAAGCGTCGAAATATATTACGTAACGGGTGAGCAGAGTGAACAAAGGTTAGTTACGGAAATGATGCTAACAACTAAAATACCAGAAATACGAAAGAAGAATATGCAGTGATAACAAAACATTGATGTCCAAGGGAGAATGATCGGGTAGAAAAGTTTCTCTTGCGTGCATAAATCAGAGCTTTTCATATAAGTCAATATAGAATGCTAAAATTGAACACCGATTCAACACTACTGATCTTCACACTTTTAGTTACAATATGATTAATATTCCCTGCTTCTAAATATATTGATGATGTAAACAATATTCCAAGTTAAATTATTTTTACCTTTTTAGCAATTTTTTTTGGCAGACTTAATGTATACACATACATACAAAAATATTTTCATATGATTGTACAGCTAAGTGAACGTATTCACCTTAAGGAGTTTTTTCGTTAAATCACGTGTTAGTCTATCTGTAATAATGCTAAATAAAGGTGACTACACCAGGCATCCCTAATATTTCGGTTATTAATTCTGTCTTCACTGTTCAGTGTTGTTAGTAAGTTCACCACTCCCTTAATTAGTTTCTCAGAGGATTTTAGCATTACTGCTGACTACTCTAATTTCCCTTTAGCGCTTTAGTAGTGATGTGTTCCGTTATATTGGCCTCGGAATACAGTTCATTTGAATAGTGGTGAGAAACTCTATGACTCATAATTGCTGCGGGTATATAGTGATGCTCTCTTAGTTGTATGAAATTTCATCGTAATTATCGTGATCAAGAATAGGACATGTAAAACCACATATGTGTATTTAAATACAGTCTTCTCAGGTATCCTTGCTGTCGGCTTTCAATGGCAATGCAAGCGTCATCTTCAGCAGCAATTATGGATCACCAGATGTTAATAAATGTAGAGATCTAGCTCCAAATGTACCAGACATGTAGTGTCACTAAGCTAAGTAAAATGATACTATTGTGCATTTCAACTTATTATTCCACCACATAATTTTTTATCCTTCGAAACAAAAATATAATGTTAGGAACCTGTCTGTCTGTAGTATTGCTGAGTTTTCCATGTTCCACGGGATTATTTCTTCTTAAATGCGATATATGATGTGAATTCCCAGACATCAAGCGTGACGTATAGTTCCCAGCTACTTGTATAGTAGGCATTAACACTAAGCTTCACATTCGTTTTTTCTTTTCCTAGGGAACGTAAACGTGAAAAAGAGCGTGAAGAACTTTGGAAGAAGTTGGAACAGCTCCGGTTATCTGGTTCAGGTGATGCGCCAATCAATTCAAATATTGAATCAAAAACGTATCCTTCTCTTAACAATAATTCTTTTACGGTAGTTTCTCAAAATTCTAGCCAGATCGGTGTCAATGTCACAAAGCGTTAAATCCACTGTCTTCCTACCACTCGTTATACGAAACATCGATTGCTTATTCTTTCAGTTCGTAATTTACACGGTTGGCAATGATTCATTCCGTTTTCAGACACAGATATTTAACTGTGAGGCGAATGACGCTGGTGATCTGCGTCATATAATTTTATGAATATAATTCAACTAGTATGTATTTAATTGCATGTTTGTTCATTTATCTTCTGCCTGAGGTCAGACATTTCTCATACGGATATACACTACTTACTCACCTAATTTTTATTTTATTGCTTTAGTTAAATGTTATTTCTCACACCTATTATAGGTTTTAAAACAGGTACATAATTTGATAACCATGATTTCTTGTTGGCTGATGTGATCGATTGTTCTTTTTTATCATGTAAATGTGCCTATTGGAGGATATTCAGAAAGCAATAAGTATTTTAAATATGACGCAAATAACTTTCAGCTTACTCCTTTGTTTTTCTGATACCATCTTCAATAAACATTTGCTAAAGTCATATCCTTAAATACTTTTTATTAGTATCTAACTGTAATTTCATCCTTTTCCGTTTCGTTCTTTCTTGAAAACTTTAAAAACAAAAACTGGATAGGGTTGCAAAATAGAAAAGTGGGCTGAGAAGCATATCCGACAAAGTATTAATCAATTTTCTTATATTTTCTAAGGCAGATCCAGAAAAGAAGCTGCAGGATGATATGTATCCAATCACATCATTTTACCTACTCTGTAGGTGGAATCGTAATCCATGAAAAGATACCAGCAACAGACAGCTCTTATATTTGCGCATCAACGTCGTGGCCTAACTGTCCTTAACTCTAAATCAGTTTTCGAGACAAAAAAGCGGGAAACAGGACGTGTGTAGTAAGCATGAAGGTTATTGAGAGAAGTGTTTCGAGATATCATGGAAAAATCCCCACAAGAAATTACCATGTACCAGTTGTTTCATAAAATTACTTACAGAGTATCCGTCTCAGACAGTTTTCCCAAACAATCTTTAGGTATCCTGGAGTGCTGTCTTTAAGATCAATCAGCAGTGAGTTCTCTGGGATAAGTACCTTATAGTATTTTATTATCTGGGATACTATTTCATCAGACGGATCAGTCATTTATAGTGAGTCTTCCGGAAGAAAAAACAACTGTCTTTGGCAAAGGTATGTGTAGTCCTGGAAATAAAATGCATCTCTGTTGCAAGTACACATCGGCTGAAGCACACAAGATGTATTTTGTTGGCGGGGATCGGATTACGTTGTAATAAAGTGTGAGGTTGTCAAAATAGAATACGATCTTTAACACATGAGACAAAAATATCTAGATTTCAGTGGTATAGGTTGCTTGTTTCGTCTAACCTTCACAATAGCCTTAAAACTAACATCTTATCTTGTATAGTATTTTGGAATTCTAGATTTTTACTATATTTTCCTACTGACTTATTGCTGAACTCTGTATAAAACACTAGCATTTCAAGCGGTAACACTACGGACATTGTATGCAAAAAGAGAGAATAGAAAATGTAATAGAACCACACTGAACAGAAATATACCTCCAGAGTTACAATAAAAATAGAGGGGTGGAGAGCTTTTATCCACGATTCCTAATGTAGCCAAACGTAAATTGTTAATTGCCTTTTAATAATAGGATTAAGTTATTGCCAACACTATGGTTTCAACATGATTAAGTTGCATGTTATGTATTGGAATAAATTCACACTCAACTAATGCCTTTTTCAAGAAACATAACTGGGTGAAGAAAAAGTAATCTTTGTTTTTACCCCTGCCTTATATTGTCAGAAGACCAAACCACCGTACCCATTATGTATTCGGGTGACTACAATTTTGTGGTTACATCTTTTAGTTGACATTAATGTTCGAAATCCCAATCTTCTTTGTGTCTAGTGCAATAGATTTCTACACTGACTTGTCGTTGTTGGTTAGGTATCTCCATCACCTCTGTCTAAATTATGTTCACTTGAAATTCTGTCTTTACTGCTTCTTCTGTCTGCAGGTCTTGAAGTTTGTGTGACACTAAACACAAATCGTCCGTAAAGTTCGAATCTCCTGAAGATTTCTTGTCAGCCCTGTCTTCTCGCTCCCCATACGTTACAGTCCATTAGTGATAGTAGGCAGCCTTGCCTTACTCCTGTCTTTGCTTCAAAGGCCTAGCTGAATCACTTGAAATGTGCAATCAGCATATAGTCACTGAATGAGGTTGATAAATTTTAGAGTACTCTGTAGTGTTGAAGTTTCCAAATAACGTTGCGGTCAATACCGTAGAAGGACTTTTCACAGCCGATTTGGCAGAAAACACAGTTTAAATAAAAACCCACAGACCATAAATCGTCTGGTCTTTCTTCAAAGGAACATCAAACGAAATGTGTGAAAAAGACTCAGCCGATTAAATCCTTCGAACTTTAACAGAAGTCGCAATGAGAATCAACGACTGTTTTTCCTACGTCTATGCCTAGGAATCTTCCAGTGTGTGCGTCAATAGATCAAGAAGTAATCCAATCTAACGGTATCGATTCGCTCAACATGAGGGAGAGGCGAAAACTTATCATCTCCCGATTTCTTATGATTACCTAGAGTACTGATTAGATGGATACCTTTCCTATCGAATGTCGGTGTCGAAGTCTCCTAAAACTAACCAAGGATTATTTTCGCTGACTAACCTGATACCGCCCACCATGTTCTAAACATGCACTGTAAAACCACAGTACCTTAACAAGTTCCTGATGCCATATGGTGGATATATTGTGGAGAAATCTCCACTTTATAATTAGTTTAAACTAGTTGTATGTAACATTTGCATCAGTATCCGTTGTTTCACGATTTTTATCTTCAAAAAGGAATTTAGACCACACAATACGTAAGCTACCATGAACCACATGCTAAACATCTGATCACAAAGTGAGTTCTACTTTTATTACCATAAAGAATTAATAAGCGCTTTTGTGTAAACTCATCTTATAGAAGTGGATGATTTTACACTTTTGTGGTAGATGAAATTTAATCCACGTATTAATCAATCTTAGTTGGGAATTCGACGGTAGGTACTGGTAGAATGGAAGTATCGATTTCTGAGATGAAGTATTAATTCAAGCAACAGATACAAAAATTAGATTTACAAAACCAAGTAATGTTACAGAAAACAGTAAGTGACGACTGACTAGGATGTCTTACAGTCGTCATTTTGTTCCACTGGTTTCAATGTTTTTACATATTGTCTTAGTGCCTTTTCATTTTCCAGTACTTTATCAGGTTTTTTATACTAAAATGAGATATTTAATCTAAACTTTCAACAAACCGAAATGATGAGTGTGTTGTTCGCATGACTCAGTGTAATAGACTTCTCGTCCAGTGGCAAGCCCATTCGCATCATATCCGGTATGGTGAACTTCTTGTAATATCTGAATTGGGATTTTAGTCAAATCTAACAATAAAAGCTACTTTTTATTAGTCGTCCTTAGAACAATTGCCTCATCTTCAATGTTAATTTTGTACACGTCCAATGGATAAGGCAAATTACGTACTCGCCACTGAAATGAATTGGCAACATCGCTGCGACTAAACAAGGGCTTTTTGTAACTCAGGTAATAGAATATGAGAATACAGTTTGAGAAGACTCCATTATACAATCCGAAAATTGATTTCTACTCGTCGTCGGCTCCCCAACTTCAATCTCCCAAGATCCATCACCGCCAAGTACAGTTTTCTTTCTCCATCTCCTAGCTTGTTGAATTTGAAAATTAAAATACAACAACACTTACTTAGTAGGTTATCGTTGGATGTGTCATACTCTTCAACCATTTCTTCTCCTTCGGGAAACAAGAAATGGATCTTCCGCCTCCCTAGAAATTGTAATAATCTAATCTATAACTTATTGTTTAGTTTTAATAAAATGTATCAAGCAATGAAGATCTATCTGGCATTCAGAATTAAACGTTAGTTTCTTTGTAGTATAACTCCCCTGAAGTATAAAACCTGGGCAGATACAGCCTGCTTTACATATCGCAATAACCCAATGGATTATGCTGACTGATACGATTATCGCTTGAGATCCAATTAAACGAGAAGGGATAGTAAAAGGACTGAAAACATACATAGTATATTGCGACTAATATGCAGACATACATCTGAAGGCTATCCGAACAGAGATGCGGCAGTCTCGGAGTGCTCCCACTACACACTCACCCCTCAAGGTATGACTTTACCATGGGTTACAGAATGTTAGCTAAAAACGACTCATTCAATCCAGATTACTTTACTCTTTCCAAAGTCTGTAGTGAAGTAGTCTCAGAATATGCATTGTTTGGCAAAAGTCAACACTCCCAAATCGATAAAATGTACATGTTTCTCGAGTTCCGCCCTTTTTCAGGCAATTTAGAACGGGATCAATTAACACTATGTCAACATCGGAGGTATCGACAAACCACACGCTCCCTTTTCTTTTTCACAAATGTCAAATTCATTGGCGTCGAAGACAAGCGTACATTTTACGTTAAGAACTTGGGTTACAAGTGTTGAAGCTAAATGTTTGCACTCATGCTTCTAGGTTAATAGGTATATCCATAATAGTTAGATTTCTTCTGTAAACATAATCCTCAAGGTATCTATAACCACTTTATAGTAAGATAAAATCGGTTTGAAAAAGCTCGTTATAGAAACATTTGATAAAAATATCTTTATTCATCGTGGTACTCTGAGAAGTCGATGGTGACCAACTACAAAGTACAATAAAAATACAAACCAAGATGATAAATCTAGGACCTAACCAACAGGTATGTGAAGATAACCTGTGAGAGCATTATCGACTAATCGGACACCACAGAAATACATGAGCTCCAATCAGTCATACCGTCTAGGTAGCTAAAACGAGATTCAAGTAGCGAAATAACCTGACTTGCCTACCAGTCTAATCATCTGATGTAGAATGGCAGTTACCACCACTAGTCACGAATTCAGACTTAGTCTAACCCATCCTTGTTATCAATCAACATATC